ACAGCAAGGGTGACATACATGAAATCATACATGGTCGCTGCTCAAATGATTCTTAACTGCAGTTATAAGGTCGTAATTCCATTTTTTTCCTTCAAATTATGACTTTACCTTCCTACCTTTCACTTGTTAAAATTTGACTTTGTAGTAAAACTTGGAAAGTCGACAAATAATTCATTGATAATCAATTACGGCATTGCTTTCGGTTCGACGAGTGTGTAATTATTTTTTTCCAGTCTAAAGGTAATATAAATAACGTCACGTAAGGGATGGAAATAATGTCATGTAACGGATGAAAAATAACGTCACGTAACGGATGGAATAACGTCACGTAACGGATGGAAATAACGTCACGTAACGGATGGAAATAACGTCACGTAACGGATGGAAATAACGTCACTTCCAAGCTCTTTGATAAAAGGATCAAATAAATATAAATGCAACAATAACTAATAAATAAGTGATTTAAAAAAAGAAGACAGAAACACACAAAACCAAAGTGATGTTAAGGCCATTCATTGAGAAGTCTCAGATGTGTAATTCAGCAGGTCGCGTGTTGCTAGGACGAAGACGCTTTCCCTCGAACTATTGAATATAATGGTACTCTTCTACTACTTCCATTATTATTATTATTATTATTATTATTATTATTATTATTATTATTATTATTATTATTATTATTAGTAGTAGTAGTAGTAGTAGTAGTAGTAGTGGTAGTAGCAGTAGTAGTAATAGTAGTAGTAGTAGTAGTAGTAGTAGTGATAGTAGTATTAGTAGTAGTATCAAAATATCAAATTATTATTATTATTATTAGTAGTAGTAGTAGCAGCAGCAGTAGTAGTAGTAGTAGTGATAGTAGTATTAGTATTAGTAGTATCAAAATATTATTATTATTATTAGTAGTAGTAGTAGTAGTAGTAGTAGCAGCAGCAGTAGTAGTAGTAGTAGTAGTAGTAGCAGTAGTGATAGTAGTATTAGTATTAGTAGTATCAAAATATTATTATTTTTATTATTATTATTATTATTATTATTATTATTATTATTATTTATTTATTTATTTAGTAGTAGTAGGTGGCCCCGAGTGGCCAAGTGGTCTAAAGCGCTGTCCATTACGGATCACTGTCATTTCACCTCTGTCTGCGTGGGTTCGAGTCTAGGATTCGGCAAATGTGGATATGTGAGAAAACTTGCCAGTAGCTTTTCGTGGGTCGGTGGTTCTTTTCTGTGATTTCCCGGTTTCTTCCTCCACCATTAATACTGGTCGTCCTGAATAGCTTATCGTGTGCTGAAAAGTGGCGTTAAACCCAACAACAACAACAACTTTTTAGTAGTAGTAAAAAAAAACTGACACATCTAATTTATTAATTTTACTTCTTTTCTTGAAATATCTTTATATCAGCTTGTGTATATCTGTCATAATATGGTATAAAAAACTGAAATTTAAATGAATTTTAATGATAAATTACCTGTAATAACATGGTTGTTTTCTAGTAACGTAAAAGTAAATAACAGCCACAAAATGCTCTACAATAAAAATTGCTCATTTGCATATGATTGGGTTTGAATGCAACATTATTATTTTGTAGTAGGGGGCCGTTACGGATAACTGCCATCACTGAAATAAACATCATATTGACCTGGAAACAAGTAGACGTAATGGACCGAAGCTACTACTGATTGTATGCAAGTAATACGGCTACTATAGATGTCAATCATTGTTTGTTATTAAAAGTAATCCACGTGATACAAGCTGCAGGATATGAAACAAATTAACATACTTGTCGGATCTTTCTAACACCAACATATCGACTGTCACCGGCACGGCGACCGCCACAAAACTATTCCTAAAGTACAGGAACCATGAAGAGCACAATGCAGTCATTTCATTTTCACTAGGTTTATAATTTCATTACATCCAAAATTGTTTGGTACACACCTGGCATTAAGTTAAACAAATACGAAATTTTGGCAACGTTTCAGCGTAAAATGTTGGGCAGTTTTGATACCTGGACTAACGCTGCAACGATGTCAAAGTCATTTTAAGTTTCGTAAAAGAAACAAAATACCAAACATATTTCGTGTCTTTTTATTTAAAATAGAACGGTTTAATATCGTTGATAATTACTAATACAAGCGTTTAATATCTTTGATAATCACTAACACAACCGCTTAGTATCACTGATAATCGTTAATTCACCAGTTTAATAGTATTGATTATCAAAAACGAATTGCTTCGTTGCCAGTCATATTGCAAAAACTGTTTCAAATGGCAAGTAATTACTTAGACTGAAAGAGCGTTAAAGGTTTTATTAATGTAACTACAATATAATCAAATTCATAATTAGGTCTGAGCGAAAAATATCAACTTGCTGGCGGCAAAGCACGATATATAATTATGCAATGATAATTGCAGGTCATAAAACAATAGTAACGAACCAATCTCACGCTATTTATATTCAGCTGACCCGGTCATAGGACATGTTGGTCACGTCTTGAATTAGTTAGTTAAACGAATATATGCTTTTTTTTAATGAAAACATTTCTACTAAACATTCACCGTCTATCTTCGTTTCAACTTTCCACCCAATTTCACATTTTTTTTTATACAGTAAAAGTGTTGTTCTTACATTGCAATGAATTGATTTACCGAGATGGTTTAAATTTAGTATTAGTGAAATAGCTTCGTATCTGATGATCCATTGTTCTCTCGTATATAGGGTAAAAAAAGAAGTCTACTATTTCGTTGATCTCTCTTGCATAGGAAAAGAGAAGTCCAGTTTTGCGTTATTCTCCTTGCATATGATAAAAAGAAAGGTCAAATGATTCCTTGTTCTCACTGAATTGGTTAAAAATAGAAATATAATAATCTCTTTTGCATAGGGTAAAAAGAGAAGGACGATTCTTTGTTCTGTCTTGCACAGCATAAAATGTGAAATCCAATGACTGTATTTTCTCGTTCAGGGGGTAAATAAGAAGTCCTGTGATTATTTGTTCTCCTTTCCACAAAGGGATAAGTCCATATTCCAAAATTGTTTTGAGCCCCTTTTCTAGTGTCAGGACTAATGTCGCTTTACAAAATGAAATTAACAATTAAACATCAATTACGTTGAGATTAGCTAACATCAAGAGATGTTGACTGTCCGAAGGCACCACAATAATATAACCCAGAATGTTTATGAATGAGACCTCAATAATCCCAAAGTAGTGTTTGAGTTCAAAATATCAGTAAGTACTTTCTAATTACAATGAATGCTTTGAATAAATAATTCATCAAATAATGGCGTTCCATCCAGGCATGTAACGAGATAGGAATTAGGATATATTGTGCTTGAGTCTATTGTTGGGTAGTTTTGCTGTTGGGTTGGGTTTTTATTATTTTATTTTTGTTATTTAGACAATAATTAGCCTTCACAAAAAATCTCAGATACAAGCCACAAGTCTTTCAACATTGCATACATCATGTGGCCACATACAACATACATTAGACGTGTTCATCCATAAAGAAAAGTGTTGATAACTTAAACAGTGAATTCATATAGGAACTTGTCAATAACTTCAATATAACATACATTAGAAGTGTTCATTTATAAAAGAAAGTGTCGATTCATAAAGGAACTTGTCAATAGCTTCAATACACCAGACATTAGAAGTGTTCATTTATAAAATAAAGTGTCGATAACTTAAACACAACAGACATTAGAAGTGTTCATTCATAAAGGAACTTGTCAACAACTTCAATACAACATACATTAGAAGTGTTCATTCATAAAGGAAGGTGTCAACAACTTCAATAGAACAGACATTAGGAGTGTTCATTCATAAAGGAACTTGTCAACAACTTCAATACAACATACATTAGACGAGTTCATTCATAAAGGAAGGTGTCAACAACTTCAATAGCACAGACATTAGGAGTGTTCATTCATAAAAGAAAGTGTTGTTAACTTCAATACAACATACAGTATGAGTGTTAATTCATAAAGGACAATATCCAAAACTTAAATATAACATACAATTTTTAGTGTCATCCAGTGCCAATAACTTCAGCATAACAGACATTGGTCTTTAATACAACGGACATTAGGTGTGCTCATAAAGAAAAATGTCAATAATTTTTTTAGGGTAGCATGACCTGTTCTGTAAAGAAAAATGTCAATAATTTCTTTAGGGTAGCATGACCTGTTCTGAGACACTTGTACTAACGTAGTAATAAGTGCGTTATCAGTGGAGGTGTGGGTGTTTTTCTTAAACATTCACTAAAGCAAATACTAAAAAAATGAACACGTTATAAAACACTAAATAGAATGAGCTTGTCTGTTTTTAAACACTTGGGGGTATTTTCTTATCCGCAGGAGGAAGGAGTTGGAAAAGGGGTTGGTTTAAGCATACCGGTCCTTTAATACAAGAACATGATTATGACATTATATATGCCTGAAATACATATAGGCAAACATCATCCTAACATATCGGACCATTGATTTATGAGAGTGATAAATAAAACACGAATGTGATAAACAGTTTAATACAAACAATACTATCATACAGGTTAGAGAAATTAAATTCGTACTCTACGGAATTTCAAACCCAGGTCCGCGAGTAAATGACACCCATCGCCTTGCCTGCATGTACCAACCCATATACTGTCACAACTAAGCACGCATCACCAAATAAATGATGGCAATGAATCGGTGTTATATGAGCTCGTGCGTAGCAGACAAACTCGCATGACGACCTAGTAAATAGTTGTTCCAGATTCTTCATATATATATATATATATATATATATATATATATATATATATATATATATATATATATATATATATATATATATATATATATATATATATATATATATATATATATATATATATATATATATATATATATATATATATATAAGAGAATTATTGGAGAAAAAAAAATTATAATATTGATTTAGGTTAGTTTAAATATATTTTATTTCCTAAATTTGGTATCTTGATATTATAACCACCCTGTGGTGACCAAGGTAGCTAGAGCGTTAGAGCGTCCGCCTCGGATGCGGGTGGTCACGGGTTCGAACTCCGACATAGTCATGCCAAAGACTTATTTTTTAAAAATGGCACTAGTAGCTGCCTCGTTTAGCGCTCAGGTTAGAGTTCGGACTGGCCGGATTATTGTGGGGATGATGTGACTGGGAGGGACAGGATGCCACATATCTGTGGCTTGATGCTCCAGTGCTTTACATTATGATAACGAAAACCACTGGTTTATAGTGTCCCTTTCTTTTGACGATACAAAATCTCGCAAACAAACGTGAATATGAAGAAGAAAATGTTAAAGCCTAATATAAAAAGTTAAAGTCACGTGATTTGGTAGGCGGAACGATCTATCGTCTCGCGTAAGGTCAATTTAATGAATGCAACATATACCACAAAGATTAACAACAAAGATGAATGATAAAAGATCAAAATACAGAAAAAGGCGAGAAAATCACTCTTTTCAGGAATATTTGGATAAATGTAATATTGAAAATCAGTAATGGTCTCATGTAGTGCGAGTCATTGCATATGCCATAACCAGTTATTTGCAATTTACAAGTGTTCGTGACCGGCATAAATGTTAAAAAACGTGTTCTTAATTAAAATGTTTTATAGATTGTTTAAGAGATGTATGAACGGCATTAACAATGTTTACTTTTTATACGAGAACGTTACATCATAGTGCAAATATGTGAAGTTAATTATCGTATGGTGTAAAGATAATTACCGTATCTTGTGAAGTGAATTACCTTATTGTGTAAAGATAATTATATTATGGTGGGTTGCATTGAATCAGTTCAATGCGTTTGTCTAAATCTCAAGGTAAGAGTCACGTGAGTACAAGAGCACTTTGTAAATGTCCGCATGTTAAACAGCAGCGGTCGAATTATATTAAATTAGTCGAAGTCTAATGAATTAGTCGAATTCAAATGAATTAGTCGAATTCAAATGATTAAGTAGAATTCTAATGAAGTATTACATACCCATTTAATCTTTAATTGTTTATCTGGAATTCGCCACAGATGTTCAGTCTGATATTCCGCTTCGCACTCCTGAAATTTCCGTATCGTACACCTAACCTAGAACTTTAAGTATTCTAAAACAGTTCACTTATAAAATATCGAGAAGATTTAAAAATTATTATGTAATTTTAAGAAAATGAAGTAAAATGGCCTTTTTTGCCGATGGGGATATTGGGGGTGGGTGGGGTGTACCACACGTTGAGATGGGTACTTTATGGGTGTGACACATCATCTGGCGCAGAGAAATTAGAGTTAGTTGAGGCTGACAACAATGTTTTGGGTTGAATGTCTGACGAGTTCTCAGGTGAAGTTGGTGTACTAATTGACACCATAAGAGAGAGAGAGAGAGAGAGAGAGAGAGAGAGAGAGAGAGAGAGAGAGAGAGAGAGAGAGAGAGAGAGAGAGAGAGAGAGAGAGAGAGAGAGAGAGAATACTTTTGCAGCTGAAATCTCCTATTGAAAGTTTTAAAAACTCCAGACAATGTACAGAAGGCTGACGGAGTCATGTGACCAAAAGTCAAGGTATGTTACATCTTGTTACAATATGGTTGAGACCTTGTCATCACTGGGGTACATACAGGGCAGTGCAGAGGCGTAGCTATGGTGGGGCAGGAGGGTACATATGTCCCCGGGCGCCAAGGTACAGGGCGCCATAATAAGGCTTACAACGTTACATTAAAATAAGTAAAATAGAAACATGTGATTAAACGGGGAGGGGGCTGGGGCACCAATTTTATAGTTCGTCCCCGGGCGCAAAATATCATAGCTACGCAGCTGAAGCAGTGTACGTTTGTTTGAATTTTAAATAATTGTGACTGTTCATAATGAGAAAAGGAACACTATTGTTCAGAATCTCCCTGTTGAAAATCAAACTGAATATTAAAAATCTAGTCCGTATATTGGACTGCTTTCTTAAATATATATACTTAAAATATCACCATTAAGTTCAATGCATTAACAATTTCTTGTATTAAACGCAAACATATTGTATTTAATTACGGTCAATGTAGAATTTAACGAAAACATAATTACGGCCAATCTGTGGAATTTGCAATGAAAAGTGCTTGTAAGAAGAGCGTTTTTGTTCAGTGACTAGGGTGTAAGAAAATGGTCACTGACGGGTCCGATACATATGTTCCATTTTAGAAATTAAAATAACAAACTTGCATGAGCTGAATTTTATATACATTCTTATGCCCTAATTTATATCTTTTAATGGTTAAAAGCGACCGCTACGGTGACCAAAGCGGTTAGAGTGTCCGTCTCGGATGCGGAAGGTAGAGGGTTCGATCCCTTGACGACTCATTAAAGACTTGCGAAAAGGTTACTTGTAGCTGCCACGCTTGGCGCTCAGCATTAAGAGGTTATCGTTACGACTGGTAGGACTGGTGTTAGGATGTAACTATATGGGACGTCACATGATGCCACATATCTGCCGCATGATTACCCAGTGACAGACATCACTATAAATGGCCATACCGCAGCCGTAGGACTTAAAAATTATTAAAGTTACCGTAACAATATAAAACACACACACAAACAGTTTCTAAGCAGTGCAGACAAATCAAAGACGCAACTATATCTAGGCCTATTCACGCCAAATAAACATACATACATACATACATACATACATACATACATACATACATACATACATACATACATACATACATACATACATACATACATACATACATACATGCATGCATGCATGCATGCATGCATGCATGCATGCATGCATGCATGCATGCATGCATGCATGCATGCATACATACATACATACATACATACATACATACATACATACATACATACATACATACATACATACATACATACATACATACATACATACATGAGTCTCGGCATAACGTTCTCGACATAGTCCTACTTTGCAACGAATTCATTCTTTTTGCCCACTTGGAACAAAACAGTAGGTTTTTGTCCTTCTTTTCTTGATGGCGTGATCTGAAAACTGTCGTGAGTCGCCATGAAAGTTTTTACAGTTCCATCTACCCCATTAGAAATGTCTAGAAACAGGAGTGTTGCGATCATTGAATGCCTTTGAAGTTATTCATGTAGTCGCTTTGACTAAATTCGATACATAATCTCGACTGAAGAAACAACTTGGGTTGAAGATTTGTTATATATTTTAATTATTGAAATTTGTTATCACTACATTATGGCGAGTAATACCTCAAACAGCTGGTATAATCAGAGATGTGAGATAGCGACGGCTGGAACCAGCTGTCATTTTGTATAGACTTTTAAGTTTATGATTCTGTCTCTAGGTGCAAGACTTTCATATTCTTTTTCGTGATATAAATAAAGATTCGATAAATAAACATTTTGTTGTACCGGTTACAAATCAAGGCTGTCTCATTTCTTTTTTCGTGCTCATTATTTTTTTTTTCTTGCAATGTATGGTTTTTCCAAACTGGATTACTTTATTTCAAAATAGGTAGTATGGAAAAACTTATAAGTAATTGCTAGATTTTCTCTTAGGTTGAAATCAGAGTAATTTTTGCCAATGCCTTTCAGTTATGGAGTTTATTTTTTCGTGCCATTAGCATTCATTCGAGAGAAATGCTCCGAGATGATTGTTTGATCAGTTTCACAAACCCTGTAGTTAAGCATATGCATAGTGACAGATGGAAAGATTTTTTTTTTTAATACAAATTTTCAAGGATTCAGAATAGAATGATAAAAGTCAATTACTTATTGCTTGGGATAATTTTTGTAAAATCAAGGTTGGGTTTTTGAGCAGTTACCATGGGATTATCTAAATATAGAATGATACTTTTGTCATATGCAAATAAACTTATAGTAGAGTGTATATCCCGTCCGACGTCATGAATGTACTAGTAAATCTACAAAGTAGAGGGCCTTAAAGGAAACCCTGGGGCACACCAGGTCAAATACACATCTACAGTTAAAAAGAAACACGAAGTATCGCTTGTTTTTCCTGATTTTGAGATAGCTTAGAAAGCAATTTGAAAAGATTCCTGTGATGTCAGTATCAGTTTACGGAAAAGTCCTGTATGCCACACGCGCTATAAAAGCTTGACTTCTATCGCACAACTCACTTCTAATTTCCTTACCGGAATCAGCTGTTAACAAGACGTATAATAGCAATAGGGTAATCGATCAACTAAAGAATAATCCAGAATAAAGCCGGACTGGAATGGTGCAAATATATCATTTTCACGACGTAATTCAATACATATTTAATCTCCAGTCACCGCTCAGGTGGTCAAAGCCCAAGTGCTAGACATCACTATAAACTTCCACACTGAAGATATTGTAATTATATGAACAAAATTGTTAAAGCTACGGTAAAAAGGTTGGTTGATAAATAGACACAATGGTCATGCAATGGTCATTTCTTCAAAACTGCACAAACGTTTGTTTTACTCCATTTTTTTAAAAATAAAGATCGGTACTCTATGAGACTGGAAAGCGCGCGAGCAATGTATGTGCGCGATTTCATTATCTAGCGTACGCACAAGTTTATATATATATATATATATATATATATATATATATATATATATATATATATATATATATATATATATATATATATATATATATATATACGTAGCAGATTAACATTTTATCTAGAAGATGTCACTCTATACAACATTGTTCAAATTGTTCAGTTTTGTCAACTTCGGTGAATGCTGATCAGTTGTGATGAACAGAGTAGACAGCGTATTGTGAAAGCTGATAAAAGCTGTAATGCTAGATATCAGACTTTGGTGCTAATTTGTCAATATGTGGCCGTTTGGCTTTTCGAGATTGTTTCGCGAGGAAACGAAATTTAATCTGATGAGACGGGATAGGATAGATTGCTTGGCGTTTCAAAAGTCTCTCCTACGTTTGTGTATTGACCTTTTGTTTGCCGGTGGGATACAAGGTGTTTTGATGGTTTAACTTTAACATGGCTTTTTCCTGTATACTTTACTCATGGCAATACTATGGGTTTAATTACATATTTTGTTTATCTGTCAATATCATCACGTTTAAAAAA